TTTGGAGAGAGCGCAGGTAATTTTTTTCTTTGGTTTTCACAATACAAGTATTTGTATCAATCAACACAGTTTTATATGGAATAAATCTCGTTAAACATTTTCTTTATTAAAAACATTAGCGGGAATTTAGATCAAGGCAACTCCATAGATTTAGCCAAGGCCTTTTAATACGATGCAGCACAGGAAGTTGGCTTTTAAAATAAGAGAACTTTGGGATAGCTTTCCTCTTTAGCCAGAAAATTATTACATTTACAGACAGAGAGTTTTAATTTCCAAGTTTCTCTGGTGTTATACTTGAAAGTGTCTGGGTGTTTAGTTCAAAATTTGAAGCCTATACCCTTTAAGTGGTCATAGAGAGCCACATTTCCATAATTGCAGATGACTTAAAATGTGTAGAGTTGTAAATGTAGATCAAAATGTTAATTCAGAAAGTAGGCAGGCTGATGGCTCTGATGAGTATTCCAAAATTCAATAATAATAATTATTATTATTTAGCAAGTGGCAACAAAATCTGCAGCTCTGCACAATGGGTGGACTAACAGACACGTATTTGTGACCAGACGAGTTGGACATACAGGAACAGATGGGTTTAGGGTCCTGCTCAATGAGCTTACATGCTAGAGGGAAAGGGGTATAGTGTAGCAAAAGTAAGGGTAATCCAGGGAGAAATCTCCATACTGAAAGAATCCTTCCTTCAGCTGCAACACAACCACCACCTCCTGACAGTACAAATGGTGGCGCAAGAGGATAAAAATCGACACAGCCACATCAAAATCAGTGGCGGATCCAGAGCTTGATCTCGGGAGGGGCACTTGTAGATTATTTAAAGAAATAATCCAGACACAATGACCACTACAGCTCAGTGTAGTGGTTATGGTGTCAATAGTGCCGGGACCCCCTCCCAGAGTAAGTAGTTGTAACGGATCACCTGGCACCCCGACTGGGTTTCCTCCATTGATGGATGCTCCTAGCGCTTCCTGAGGGCTCCAAGCACTCCAGCCGACACCATAACCACTGTAGACTCCTCCAGAGAGCAAGGCAGGAACAAGCTCTTACAAGAGCTTAGTAGTGATTTAGCAAGGGGGTATGACAAGCATAGCAATCCCTTGTAGCAGATTCCCCCAATAAGAGACGGCACTCCAAATTGAGCGTGAAGTAGAACTTTTACTTAAGGGCCTTCTTTTATGCAGGTTTAACACATACAGGACCGCCCACAGGGTTTTTCAGAACAACCAATAAAAACATTACAACAGATACAATAAAGTAAACCACTCCCAGCAGAAATCCTCCCCTCTGCCTGTGATACAATGATCTCAAGACAATAGATTAACTTAATTAGCACAGGCAGAAATATACAATTATACTCAAAAATCATTCAAATTGATCCAGTGGTTCAAAAGTTAGGTTGAAAGTCCTTTGTGACCACTGAAGCATGGCTTTTCCAGCCCAAACCAGTTCCACAAAGTCCTCTATCCTGGAGATAATTGGGAAGTAATCCAATTATCTCTAAGGACAGAGGCAAAACTCCATTGAACACATGGTAGCAAAAGACAATAAAATACATAAAAATATATAACTGTGCAGCTATTGCATAAAACAGGTACATTCAACATATCCCCTGATAGCTTAGATCTGAGCACACATTATTACTGAATGGCGCTCAGATCACATACATACAGTTCAATTGCCATGGAGCCAAAGTCTTTCACATAGTTTTTCATTATACGAATGGGATCCATGGCATAGCTATCTGGGTTATCACTGTTCAAATACGTCAAGTACCGAATGAGCCGGCTTTCGTGTCTTTGCAAGGGAAAATCAAGCATTTCAACATGTAGTCACAGGGCAGGAGGACAGTCTTCTCCAATGCCCAGTGGCGAGGCTGGTTCCGCCACAGTAGTCAAACCGTTTAAGAACAGTTTGACAACTTACCTGAGGTCTGCTGGGAAATGGGGCTGTAGTAGGGCATAGGAGCAGTGGTGTGTGTGAGTGGTGCAATGTGTAAGGGGTGCAGTGTGTGTGTGTGTGTGTGTGTGTGTGTGAGGGGGACAGTGTGTGTGAAGGTTGTAGTGTGTGGTGAGTGAGGGCAGCAGTGTATGTCAGGGATGCAGTGCATGTGTGGGACAGTATGTGTGTGTAACAGTTGCAGTGTGTGTGTGTGATGATTACAGTGTATATGTGAGTGTGGGCAATGTGTGTGTATGGGGAGCAGTGTATCTGTAGGGCAATGTGTGCATGGGGACAGTGTATGTGTATGGGGCAGTGTGTGTATGGGGGCAGTGTGTGTGTATGGGGGGCAGTGTGTGTGTAGTGTGTGTATGGGGCAGTGTGTGTGTATAGGGGCAGTGTGTATGTGTGTGTGTGTATGGGGGCAGTGTGTGTATGGAGGGCAGTGTGTGTGTGTATGGGGGGCAGTATGTGTATGGAGGTAGTGTGTGTGTATGGGGGCAGAATGTGTGTGTGTGTATAGGGGCAGTGTGTGTGTGTATGGGGGGCAGTATGTGTGTGTATGGGGGGCAGTATGTGGTAGTGTGTGTGTATGAGGGGAAGTGTATGTGTGTAGAGTGTGTCTGTCTGTGTGTGTGTGTGTGTGATAAGAAGGGTCGGGGGGGCTTTTTTTATAATATGTGTGTTGTT